GGGAAAACATAATCCAGAAGTACAGCACAGACTTGGATCTACATGGCTGGAGAACAGCTCTGTGGAAAGGGACCTGGGGGTCCTGGTGGACAAGCAGCTCAATATGAGTGAACGGTGTGTTGCTGTGGCAAAGAAAGCCAACAGGATGCTGGGTTGCATCAAAGGCATCACCAGCAGAGCTCAATATGTCATTATCCCACTCTACTCAGCACTTGTCAGGCCACAGCTGGAATACTGTGTTCAGTTTCGGTCCCCACTATACAAAAAAGATGTGGACAGGCTGGAGAGGGTCCAGAGAAGGGCCACAAAGATGAACAAAGGACTGGGAAGCCTGCTGCATGAGGAAAGGCTGAGAGAACTGAGTTTGTTCAGCCTTGAGAAAAGAAGGCTTAGGGGAAATTTCATCACCATGTTCCAGTACTTAAAGGATGGCTACAAAGATGAAGACTCCCTTTTTACAAGGAGTCACATGGAAAAAACGAGGGGTAACGGGTACAAGTTACTCCTGGGGACATTCCGACTGGACACAAGAGGAAAATTTTTCACAACAAGAACAATCAGCCACTGGAATAATCTCCCCACAGTAGTGGTGGGTTCCCCAACATTAGATACTTTTTAAGATTCAGCTGGACAGAGTGCTGGGCCATCTTATCTTGACCGTGCTTTTGCAAAGAAAGTTTGGACCAGATGAGCCTTGAAGTCCCTTCCAACCTGGTATTCTACGATTCTATGACTTTTAAAGAATAAAGATACTTAAAACTGAATTTGAAATTATAATAAAGAAATATATAAGCTTTTAATAATCCATTAGAATAACTTTAATTAGACAAATATTTAACAATGCATGTTTGCTGCTCATGTTTTAAAGAAAAATGCAGCCACTAATTGGGGAAATTGCTAGTTAACAGAACTACACTGTCCTCAAGCAATAGATCAGCTTCTGACAACTCTGTGTGTTCTGCAGATTTCAGAATATTTTCTTTATTTCAGATTAGTTTATGTTTAAATTCAGTAACTTTTTCACCAGAAATTCAGAAAGTGCATAAAATAAAAAAGTAATAACCTTTTCCTCTATAAAATCTTTTAATAAAATTAAGTATGACAGTGAAATCAAATCTCAATAGATTTTTTCAGTTCACTAACGAACAATGCCAAGTTTAATCAGTCCATTTTAATATTTAATATTAACACTAATTATTTTAAAATTTAACTTTTAATAAACCTTTCTTCAAACATACTGAATGCTATTAATTTCTAGTCAAGTAATTTACAAGGATTAAAATACTGCTCTTCTGCAGTGCCTCAGAAGAACACAAAGATGTGAAAAAGCACATATCTAACATTACATCATATAGTAAACCGATAGTAACGGAGTACAAAATTTAGAAGGCCGTGTTTAAGTATACGTTAAGTTCTTTAACTACTTTGTTACATGTATCGATTTGTTATTTTCATCAATGCATTACAAAAACAAAGGAAGAACTCTGCTTGGAAGTAAAACTGGTTCTCTGAACTGAATACCTGCACTAGTGGGAAGACAAAAGCATATTTAACACAGTCCTCAACTGCAACTGAGGCTGATAAACTCTTGCTTCAGATGAGCAAAAGTAAGTGGATGAAGATGCAGAGCAAGTCACATGTCTAACAATATTGCAAAGGCCTTCCACAGTGAGAAAGAAAATACAAAGATGTTTTTCTTGAAAAGGCTGTCAGAAAATCTAGCCATCTTCTACCCAGGCTTATTTTTGATCATTTCTCAACATAAGTGAAAAAGTCCCATGAGCTATAAAGAAGATATCCACTGTGCCTCCTACTCCACTGTATCAACCTGATAAACAGCAGCTGTTCACCAATAGTTCCATAGAATCGCCTCTGTTTGCTGCTGCTGTTGTAATATTTTCACATTAATCATCACATGCAGCCACTTGTTTTTTGAAGTTACCTATTAAGGAATCTGGTGTGTATATATACATGCGCGTACACAGACACACTTGCTCTTATCATTCTCTCGGGTGTTCGTAAGCCCCAAAATTTGTACCCTTTTGAAGGAGCCTCTAAAACAAGTGAGGGAGCAAACCATTAAGCTGGGTGCCAGTCACTGAACGTACACACGCTGGGTGCTTCTCCTTCCTCCACTTTTTCCTCCCCTTTCTGCAAATCACACAAATTCTATTCCATTCCTTATATGTCTTCCTCCACCTCTATTGGTTCCTTTATGATGCATTTTTGTAACATCCTGCATGCATTTTCCTTGTTGAAACTATTCTTTCCACTTTCAATTTCTACTTTTCAGACTTTTCACTTTAAACTTCCTCTTTCCTATAAAAGTTTCAAATACTTAATGACTATCAACTTTACTCTTTCCTCTCCCCCAAGCACAACTCCTCCATGAATCTAAGGACAAGCAGAGAGACTTGATTGTTTTTCTACTCACCACCCCTAGAAACCAAGCATATTTCATATGTTTGAAGACAAGCCCTTAGGCAACTTGCATCAAAGAACCAACAACATTTCAGCAAGCTCAACTTTCCCAAGGCTTTCAGAACTTGCTCAGTATTAAGCTGAAAGCCAGAATTATTCCTAAGATAAAGCAATTTCTTCTTTAGAAGCTGAAAAAAAAATTTACAGGGTCTTTAAACTTAGTTTAGCTATATTGTTTATCAGAAATTTTTTATTGAAGTATTATTAACAAATGTGATCATAGAAGGAGTTTAATTTTATTTTAAGTCACTATAAGACCTGTATATTTGTATTATTATTTCTATTTGTATCTAGACAGAAAAAAAATTGTTCCTTCAGTTGCTATTGCCTTTGAGTAAAATACTGACTATAGACTAATGCAAAGGGGTAACCATGACTTCAGTAAAACGGACCAAAGCATACCACTCCCAGCATCTTCAAGGGAAGACGCTGGTATCTTCTGCAAGAAGCAACAAAATTACTTGAATGCCAGTAGAACAAGCTCCACTGCAAAATGCTATGTCTGAGAGCATTTTAGAGTGGAAGATATCTCTAGAAGTCACCTGGTACCAACACCTGGTCAAAACAGGACCAGCTTCTAAGTTAGACCAGGTTGTTCAGAGTCATTCTGGTAAAGTTCTGACTATCTCTAAGGATGGATATTGCACAACCTTTCCAGGCAACCTGTTCTAATGCTTAATGACATTCACAGTGAACACTTCTTTTCTAGTTTCTCACCAAGATTTCCTTTATTGTGATTTGTGCCCATTACCAATCCAGTCATCTTAGAGCTACCTGTAAATATTTGTAAATTTGTACTATAAACTTCAACTATACCCAAACTATTTCTGTGTAAATAGACTGAGTTATCTCTTGCCAATTAAAAACTGTGTGTCCATCACAGGAAGAGGGACTCCTCTTGAGAATTTCCCTCTCACAACTTAGCTAATGTAACAAAAATGGAAGAATCACGGATTTATGTTCTGTTTGTTGCTTTCAACCTTGAAATCTTGGCTGCAACAGCAAAGCTTCCAACTAAGACCTAAGCTATTCCCAACACCTGAAATACGTGTGTGTACACACACACATACAGAATGAATCAAGCCAAACATCAGCACTTAAAGCACTTACCTAGAAGTCAGGAGACACTATTCTGAGCCCCTGCAGGCTAAAAAGATGAAAGCATTCAAATAACTTGGCAATTATGCAGGAACATTTGTCCAGTTTTGGAAGAAAATTGCTTACAATTCTGTAGGCTGTACTCAATGATACAGAAGCCTTCAGTGTGCTCCTGGACTGAACCCCACAGGAAACTCAAAAGGAAGAATGTCAGTTTTAAGTATCTTTTTAAGTATCTATAACAAAGTGCAATTCTACACAGATCCAGAGAGAAGACTTCTGTTCCACAAAAGCTTACCCGTGAATGAGTGTGTGGGATGCTACTTGAAAGAGCTTAAAGATGAACCTCCTTGCACTGGGGCACTATTCATTTAAGTTGGATCTTAGTGCAGCTGACAGTTCATCCCTGGTCAACTCCAGGTAACTATCTTCAGTGTCATTTATATTTACTGCTTAATAAAGGTTTGGGTTATGTTTAAGGGTACAGTTTTGTGCTCTGCCTAAGTGCTTCCTCCCACCCAGACTAGAAACTGCAGCAGCTCCCAAATACACCTTGGCACTTGGTTACAAGAGGATAAATACCAGCACATGGAAGAACGCAGGATCAACTGGTTTGGAAGGGGCAGACCTATTACATATTTGATGAGAGTCTGCTCTTAAAATCAGTTGTCAAGCTCTGTATCAAGCATAATCCCAACAGGGACAGCTCTGCTTAAATCCTTTAATCTAATATTGCAGGTAAACACCAGAAACAGAACAAAGATTGTCATTTGGGTACTCACCAGGCTTCCTCCTCTCTCAATTTTAATGTGTTAATTGAATTGTTAGTCTTGAAATTAAATAGCTCAAAAATATCTCAAAATAAAATCAAGCACTAAGCAGTAATTGATATAAATATGGAAAGAGAATACAAACCCTTTTATATTCAAGTATTAAAATGGCACTACCAAATTTGTCTTTTCTATTTCCCTTGAAACATATGGAAAGCTCTGTGTACTCAACTCAAACATGTGAGAGGTGCACAGCTGGGAGAACAAGAAATTTTATGCAGACACCAACGACAGATGTACATGCTTGATGGACGTGCAAAGCACTACTGTTCATGTCCCAAACATGAGAAAGCGATACCACTAACAGCTCAGATATCATTCTGTTTTCTGACACTTCTCTGAACTACAAGCAATTACAGATCGGATCCGCCAGGTGCAGTTGCTAATAAGGAGTAAGGAAATAATAATAAAATGGATTTTTCCACAAACTAGTTAGTATCTTTATACTTAAAGCTTCAATTGGTCAGTTTCCCCCCCCTCCCCCGCAAAAAAAACCAACCCCAAAACCAAACCAACCTACCCCAACCACTGGAATGCACTTCTCAGTTACAGATGAAAAATATAAACTTATTAAAACTAGTACATATTTACCTTCAACATGGAGAATGATAAGCAGATAGGCTCCAAGTAATCGCTCATAAACTCTCAATCGAGTCATTGTTCACTTTTAATCCCTGTGCAAGGCAACTGGCCCTTTTGCTTGACAAATGTTAAGCTTAGTCTGTCCGGTGAAGCTTAATACAATATTTGGTGCTTGGCTGCAAAGATGCTTTTGTAATTTTTCCAACTTCGTTTCCTGAAAGATACAGTAAAACAAAGTGTTAAGAAATGCCTTGCATTTCTGAAACATGAAAAAACTTTCAAGATTTTTCCATCCCATTGATCATAAGCATGTGCCTGCAAAAAATAATTAAAAATGCATATGTTTATTAAGATTAAGAACTGAAAGCATTAGCCATATTTACTATCCAACTGAACAGCAAAATTCTTCAGAAATATACATTTTTGGTAACAGCCCACAGGAATGTTTTTACATTCCTATCAAAAATATTAGGTATGTTAACTCACTAGTCACAGCTAGACTCACATACTAGACTCATGTACAGCTATCATAGGCAATATTCAACAGATTAACATGTAAATCTGTTTGAAAACTATTTTCTTTACAGAAATTAAAACGTATACTTATTAATTTTTCTTAAAAATGAAACTTGCTGGTGACTTCCCATAATATTGTGGGGAAAAAAGCAACATCATGTTGAGCCACCAGTTGAAAAATGCTTGCAGAGAAGCTTTATTGCAATAAAACCCCAGCATCTCTGCTAGAAGGAAATTAAATTTGTATTAAAATAGCTAGTTTAGTTACCTCATTTACTACAATGTTACTTTTGTCTTCTAGAATAGTACTAGGTCTTAAAAAAAAAGCAAGCACAATCTCATTTAACATTTGAGTAAAGAAATTAATTTCTCACTTATCAACTATATTCCAGTCCCTCTTCCTGTAGACTACTATGTTATATACTGTTTTCTGGAGAAAGGAAAGTTAGCTCAGTTCACGGCACTAATGAACATTTATTAGTAATCTCTGTTAACTCCAATTCAAAACCCTGATATCCTTCTGAATTCCTAAGTTTTGTGCGGATTAAGCCCTCATGAAAAATTATGCTACTCTGCACACACCATTTTCTCAAAAAAAAAAAACAAACCAAAAATCATTTTACTCATGCAGTGGATGAACACATCGCTAAGACAGCCAAACTGAGTAAGAAGTTACTTTTTCAGACCGCAGTAGTTGTGGTCACGTTCTGCATAATGAACTCTCTACAGCCATTCACAAGGGAAGCGTAATTGGGTCTCAAAGGACTAAAAAGCAGCTCAAACACCTAAATGGTTAATTGCAACAAAAGCAACGTTGCACAAAGCGGAACAGAGCAGTGATTTTGCCTTTCCTAGGCAGCCTCTTGTTTTGGTGGGCTTGACCCCCCTGACCCCTGTCAGCCCGGCGCTGCTCATGAATGCCAAAGCGGGCATTTGCTCAGGGACGGGCTGCAATTACTGTCGGTGGCTGCTTCCACCATCAATAACTCAATCTGTCTGTCGGTGAGACCCCAGAACTTTTCATTTTAATTAGTGCTTCAGAGGCATTTAACATGGAGGCAAATTAGCGGCCCAGCCGGGAGGTGTCCATCACGTCCAATTTCGGTGGCCAGGGCAGGCTGCCCCGACCCCTGGCCTACTTTTCACACGTCTCTGACTTCTCCCGCAAGCAGCGACAAAGCTCCTCCGCGCCAGAGGAGGCCGGGGCGAGCTGGCGCTGCTCCCCAGGCGCCTCAGTGGCCCCAGCGTCTGCCACCACGACTGCCAGGTCATGGCAGGAGGGACTTGGAACCACACGCTTTGCCGACGTACTCAGCACTAGTAGCTTCAAAATAAACTTCCTGGTGAGGGAGAGGTAAAAGCAGGGTGGTAACCAAAACAGTCACTCTCTGTAGTGTTTCCTCATCACAAGAAACAGGATCAATTCTGACAGCTGAGCGGGAACGTCCTTCTACCTATTAAAATATCAGGCCAGTAATACAAGTCTGTAAGTATTGTTGCTTTATTCCGTGTTTCAACTGCAATGAACTTCCATCTTCAATAAAACACGTGGAAGACGAAAACTGCCAACAGCTTGTATGCAGTAAAACAACAAGGGCTTTATTTACAGTATTATTTTTGCAGTCCATCAAGTAAAAAACCACACTGTCTGTTTAAAATATATTTTAAAATCATTTCTGTCTGTCTATTCCATGCAAGTTTCAATAAATACTACATATTCTCACTCTTCCACACTTCAAGTGTAGGAACATGTTAAACTTTCAGAAAATTGGTGATCTCGCTCCTCAGGTCAATAAGGTAAGAGAGCACCCTGGCACAGGAATTTAATGTGCAATGTGTATTTACCACTGTACTACACAGTACGTTATCAAAAAATCAAGAACAGGAAAAAAAAATATTTTAATGCAACCCACTTCCAATTTAATGGTGACTTTTGTTCAGCAAGACAATCTAAGAGTTTTCAAAAGCACTGTCCAAGCCTATTCCAGAATATAATGTTCTCTGCTTAGAACCAGTATTTTGTACGTGAATGCTCCTTTCATTAATATTTTTTTCACATATATGTATGTATTAAAATGTAAATATGTATAAAAATGCATATAAAAATATGTAGTAAAATGACACTGAGAGCAATTTCTGTTATAATTCCCCATTTTAAAATAATTTTGAGAATGCTTATCAGTGTTTAAAAGAATACCTCAAAAATGGAAAGTAAAAAATCCAACAGGGCTGCCATTCCCTGCACACATGATGCCTTAATACTATTCAGTTATCTTTCTGCGGCTGCTACTGTCAGCGTCAAGCCCGGAAAGCCCAGCAGCTGGCTGCAAGGCTTGGGCAGACAAGCACGGATCAGCCTTGCTGCTCTCACAGCACTAATGGAAACACTGCACCGTTGGGCAGGTGAGCTTAAGCCACTGATGGAAAACTAGCAAGAAAATGTCTCAAGATGAACTATGTGAACTGCAGTGTGGCCACGTCACCTATTCTACCACCCACACTACAGAAGCAACAGAGCTGTGTAAAAAACATGATATGGACAGGTTAAGGCAGTTTTTTCAGTCATCACAGTAAAATTCAGCAGAGCTTTCCTGCCACAGCTATTAGAAGAGATTTCAGGCATTTTTCACCTATCATTTGAACTAGTCTTCCTTTTTCTCACTAAGTTTCTGAGCTAAACAAAGACAATTAGTTCTCTAACAGCCTGTGTTGCTCTTTTGCAGAAACGGAAACAGTTTGCAAACAGTTCACTCTTAAAATCACCTGGCACTCTAATATAGCTATGTAGTTTAACAGCTTTTAAAAAACAGTTTTAAAAACCAGACTAGTTGTTCTAGTGCTTCTAGCAAATGCCACACCTCAAAATTACATAGTTATGACCTTTGCACAAGAATATCTCTCACTAAAAACAAACCACCACAACAAAAAATACATTTGACAAGACTGAAGTGGCTGCAGTCACACCTTTTTTGAGCCATTTCTGGATTCCCATTAAAGAGGATGACTGGCAGCCCCACTAAGGCATGCTACCTAAAGTGAGTAACAGCTGGAATTTTGCCAAAACCTGTCTGATATTAACAGTGTAGAATGACACAACTAAATGACTATTTCAAATGTGTTAAAGTACCAATTAACACCTGGAATGCTACTCTGCCAGAGTGATGCTGACCATAAACCAACCAGTTGATTTCAAAGTCCTCAATCTCTCTTTTTTTTTCCCCCCTATTGCAGCCATAAAGAGGCATTCAAAGTAATATATTCATCAATCACAACACCCAATTTGTCTACAGTGTAATTTATTATCCTTCCTAAAAATAGTGTATTGAAGAAAATGCTTTTGTTATTAAAACTGTGTGGGTTTTTTTTCTGAAGTGTAACTCAGCTGTGAATTCATGGCACTATCACAGGAGTCTAGCCCTACACTCTGTGTGACTCCAAATACATGAAGCTAAAGTGTACAAGATCTGTCATATGGTCCAAAATGATTCTAAAAGCAGGGAGTTCAGTGGTAACTGTTTAGATGTGGCTTTGTAATATTTTAAACAGCATGATCCCCAAACCACATGAGCTGTGCTGTCCCAAATTTCAATAAAGAATGACACTGTTGAATGCAACAACAAAGACAGTATTGTAAAAGGGGAACACATGCAAAAAAGAACTGTCAATCTCAGACTTCACAAGAATTAGAACATTAAATCCAATTCAACAGACAAGATGTTTCAAAACATTTGCAGCAGTACATACAATACCAAGTAAAAGGAAAGCAAAACTGAAAAATATTAAATGTTTCTCCAATGTGTAGTGGGAACAAGAAGTAACTTAGGTAACCCTAAACATATTATAATCTCCCTCACATGTAGAGTTTTGAACACAAATTTGAGGTGGAACAGAATACCAGAGATAAATCGGACTGTCAGTCTAAGCCAGTATGCAACAACAACAGCTTAAAAAAAACTGATGCCACAAAGAAAATTATTAATTTGGATGAAGAAAAGAGGGATTGTAAGAACAGTAAAGAATTCACTACAGGGCAGACAGCAAGTAGTTTCAAGAACAGAGATCACTAGTGTAGTTCAAATGACATTCAAGGAACCCGATTCTTGAATCAGCTTGATTCAAGAATACTTAGCCTTTTCATTAACAAACTAAACACAAAAAGTAAAATTTTGATAAACATTGCTGATAAGCATGAATTGTAAATTCAGCTGAGTGTTGTTTTTATGCAGGAAGATTTGGAACTCATGAAGAACTGACGTACAGAAATAGAATGGAATACAACAGCATGAAATCAAGAAAGTTATGCATGTTGGGAACTCTGAAGAATTTCTGCTTCACATAGGCTACGAGTTCATGCATGGGAGATAACTATGTCCAAGGAGTCAAGTACACTAATCAATAACAAAACATCAGACACATCCATGTGATGTTGCTGGGAGGAAGAGACAAACACAACTCTAGGACTTCCTAGAGAAATTTTCCAGAGGAAATAGTAAAGCATGATCAGCACAGAGACAATATGATTGATAAATTCAACATATGCATAGAAGGACCTGGAGAACA